TGTTGAAAACAGTTGTGCTGCTTAATATTTTTGTTATTAAAAAGTCTTTACTGTCAGTTTTGCTCAATTTAATGCATCCTTGCTGAATAAAAGTATCAATTTCAAATAAGAAAATCTTACAGACCCCAAACAGAAGTGTATTTCAAAGAGAGTAAATTATAATCGTTTTGGGGTGAATTATCTTGAAGAGAAACACTAAAATGCAGTGCTGGGAACTTAATAGTTTACTAACTGTGGCAAGCCCGCAACGGCTCTCTCGAATAGTGGCGCAGCATCCAATGAGTCCAATAATGAACAACAGCGCTCCGACTGCGATGATGACGATGGCCGGGATCAGGGTGTACACATCCTCAAAGAAATGGTCATAGTCATCATACGTGATAAACACGTAGGCTCCAACATAGCACAGGATGCCAGCAGCGGCCTAGAAGTAGATAACACAGTTAGGCTACTTACTGAAAGCGGATATGATGTGTTTTCATGCCAAGAGATAAAACTCAAAATAAGTGAATTGGTTTGAATGCAGTCCTCTAGAAAATCAAATTAAAAGAGTACATCAGAATACAGGTAAGTGAGGAGCCAAACACACATTTACTCATGTCACTTTGACTTTCAAAACAAGTTTAATACGTATTTGGAATGCTGACCAACAAGAAAATCGTGATCCAAAATTGAAGGTCAACACACAGAAAAGCTCATACTCATCAGAAAGGAAATGAGACAGGGAAAAATAAAGGTTACCGTTACACTTTATTCCGATGGTCCACTTTAGTCATTCTATGAACTAGAAGTAACTTTGCAACTACATGTCAGCTAACTCTCATTAGAGTATTAGTTAGGGATGCACCGATTTTGGCCGATACCAATAATTCTTTATATTTGAAAGCCATTAACCAATATATTGGCAGATAAATCTAAATTCAAATTTGTATTTAATTTTTGAGAGCCTGATTATAAACACAAAAAGTCTCTCCATTAAATCCATGTCCCAAGCACACAATTATAATGTTCTCATTGTAATGTTATAAAGCCTATATGACAGAATTGCGCTGCACATGTTGTACTTAACTGTATTTTTCTATTTTAAGTGATTCCAATCATATTTCCAGCAATTCATAGCCATCATGGTGAAATGTCTCGGCTGAAGGAAATAATTCATTATTTATCGGCTGAAATATATATGTCAAATTGTCTTATTGGGCCAATAACGATAACATTAAAAATGAAAATATATTGGTCGATATTGTGCGTCCCTAGTATAGACTGTTAGGTTAGGTAATATTAGGGTAGAATATGTTGACCTGTACTTGTAAAGTTATTTCTAGTCAGTAGAATGTCGGTTGGGAGCATTAAAATAAAGTGTTAATAGATCTTACAGTCTACTAATACTCTAATGAGAGTTAGTTGACATGTAGGTGCAACGTTACTTATAGTTAGTAGAATGTCTAAAGTGGACCATCAAAAAAAAAGTGTTACCAAAATAAATGGTCAAATCAAATCAAATGGCTACAAATAAGTGGTCTGCGTCCTCCATGGACCTCCAGGCATTTTAGGAAAAAACTGTTTTATAGGGATTTGGTCTTTCCCATTTACAATAGAACCATAAAACCTCCTTTAAATCAATGAAGCACAGCTCTCAGGCTCTAAAATTATGAACAATGAGGATTTAATAAAGCAGCCTGATCCCTAAAAAAAGAACAGGATAGTGTCATATCCTCAATCTGCCAGGAGACGACGTTAAACTTAATTCAGTCCCAGATTAAAGAGATTAATCAAAGGCACAAAGACAAGGAAAGCAAGCTGACAGGTGGAGTAGTGTTCCTACAGATCCGACTGCTCAATTTAAGTCTTAAATGTAAAACTTTGCCACCAATGCCCCAGTTCTGTCAAACCCAATGTGCACAAAATCACAAGTTAGTTTGATTTTGTTTTTGTTGAATTTTTTTCTTTTGAAGATCCTAAATGTAAATTGTTTCATATTTTATTACATATTGTTTATTTTATATTGTGCATTACATTATTGTATGCCTAAATTCACCTCAACATCACAACATTTGACATTGGTCAAAACTATGAGACATGAATATCAATCAGTTTATTCGATATTAGCTAGGATATTTATATTAGTAAATCTCCATTTGGATTATTTTTCTCCATTATTTTATTGTCAATTATTATTTGATCAATTCTTTTTTGTTCTTATTTAACTGGATATTGTCTTTATCAAAACTTAATTATTATTAATGATTGTATTGTATTGAAATAATGTACAGTTAAAGAAAATATGGTTTTAAACTATTTTCTTAGTCATATTAGGAACTGTTATTCCAGTTCCTAATATGTTATATGTTCTTTGTTGTTTTGTGTGATAACTGCTATTAGTATCCTTAAGGATTGCTTGTACAAATTCCAAAAGGAACTGCCTAAGGAGGACTTGGTTTAATAAAAGCCTAAATTCAATCTGTTTATCATATAAAGCGATCGAGTCTATTCAGAAAATGTGGACTAAAAAGCTCAATTCATATGATATGGATTAGTTTTATGATCTCTTTATGAACTTTTTGAAGCATCAAAGTGGTAATTGCGTAACGTTAGCTGTCAATGGAGGGACAGAAATCTTTCAGATTTCATTAAATCAAAAGATCTTCATTTGTGCGGCGAAAATTAACTTAAGAGTTACGCGTTTAGAACGATATGAGGGCGAGTGATTAATAACAGAATTGCCATTTTTGTGTGTACTGTCCCTTTAACATTACAAACAATAAAACTTAACCTGCTTTGTGGCTAAAACGCAACAAAGACCCTGACTGGCCAATTCACGAACAGCAACTCATTCAAGGCTAATAAAATAAACAAAATTAACAGTCATTTTATACTGTCGCTGTTTATTGGCCATTAAAAAGTCTTAAACGCAGAATCATTAAGACGGAATATGTAAACACACGAGTGACACGACATTGCAATACGCAGCAACGAGCAGTTTTTTAAATAATGCATTAAAAACAAAATAGGCATATCAAATATAGCAAAGTATGCATTGTATTTCAAAAGATTGTATAAATGAATTGGTGATATAAAAGAGTGTGTGTATAATGCAGCTGCTCGACACAGTCAGGTGTCCATCTGACGCACTCTCAAATTCAGTCTCAAACACCTCAAACTTACCCAAAATATCAGGTTCAGGAACACCAAGACCGTCTTAGACGACGTAATCCCACACTGGCCCATTATTAACAGATGGAAAAAGCCGTTTAAACTGCAAATATAACAGACAGGCTGCAGATTATAAAATGGCTGTCTGTTTCCTGGCTGCCATACCTCCACTGCTGTATGCGTGTGTGTGTGTGTGTGTGTGTTTGAGACAGTCTGATCCGGGAACAGCGCCACACAGCGGTCAGATGACGCACTCTCATTGGCTGTGCCAAAACAGAGCGAGCAGCCTATGACAGAGGAATATTTATTAAGGTAGGAAAATAACTGGGTTTTGAGACAGACATTTTATGACGTTATATTGTTAATAGATTTTTATTAGTAGCGCTTGCTTTAACAAAGCATCGATCAAAACTATCAGTATATGACATGTTTTTCACATGCAAGCACCACTCACGTTTTCTTCAAAAAATGCCAATGCCAACTATTCTTTATTTCAGCTTTTGTAACTGCAACTGCATATTTTCTTACCACATCAAAACATAGACCTGTATGACTATGAGTAGGTTCACACATTATGTATATCTATGGGTTCACATGCAAGAGTTACACAAAGGGATTTAACAAGGTAATCTCTTTACTGACACCTGCTGTTACATCATTGAATTGCGTAATCACTAGTCAACTGCACTACTTCCTGAACTTAAGCCTGCTCCTTTATTTCCTGTCTTACATTATTGGACAACACACTGATTAATTCAGGTGTGCCTGACCTCAGTAGTCATAGCAACAATAATCAGACACACCTGAATTAATCAGTGTGTCCAATAATGTAAGACAGGAAATATAGGAGCTGGCTTAAGTTCAGGAAGTAGTGCAGCTGTGCATAAAGTCAATTGCAAGCCTACATGCATACAACACATGACTGCAGGTTTGCAGGGTCAACTATTTCATGAAATAAATAAACCACAAATGTTTAAATATTAAAATGTACCAAAAAAGAGGAAGAGAAAGTAAAGAAACAGGCTTTGAAATGAGAGATAACTGCAGTGCAGTCTATTTTGAGTTTGCACACATATCCAAATCTGCTTTATTTGAATAAACTGTATGAAGGGTTGAGGGTTTTTTCTTTTTCCTCTTGTGGTTGGTTAACCACGTTTGGTTTAATGTCTTTCTACCATGGAAGAGGAACAAAAATAATTCTTGATTTACATATTTTCCCCATCCAAACATTTTATTACTCAGATTATTTGGTCTTAAAAGAATTTGATGAGAAATGTTTGAGTTCATATCGAAATCTCTTCCTTTATATATATATATAAGGTGCTGTCAAATCAATTAATCGCATCTAACATAAAAGTTTGTGTTTATATAATATATGTACAATATGTGTGTTGTAGATATATGTACAATATGTGTAGTTGTACACACACACACACACACACACACACACACACACACACACACACAAATATATATATATATTTATAAATATAATAATATACTGTAATACTGTATACACACACACATATATAAACACAAACTTTTATGTTAGATGCGAGTAATCGTGATTAATCGATTTGACAGCATATATATATATATATTCATATCAGGTTTCTATAAAATACGGCTTTAAGAATTATGGATAATAAACTAAATCAATTACATTATAGCTACATTTTACAAAAGTATTTTTTATTTTATTTTTCATATATGTAAGACTAGTGTTTAAATGGTTGTATAAATGTGTTTTCTAAATTTATATATTTATAAAATTCTAAAAATGTTATATATTTATATAAGATTTTACCAGAATGGTAAGAATTAAACAAATAACTCTGTAACCCTGTAAATGGTTACAACTTTGGAATATTTTAAGATTTAAGTTATTTTATAATGATGGTTTAAAATCATCTGCAGTGTATGTACATTGCATCGATTTTAGTTTATTTGTGCTTAAATCCTTCTTGTTGCACTGTCTGTATACAAATAAAGTCGATTCCAAAAGTTCTGCCTGAAGCAAACAAACATGCACTTTTAAAATACATTTGCATGCATGCTCATCACTGAGTTTTAGCAAAACTAAAATCAGCATGAGTGCCGAACAGTTTATCCCAGTGACTAAAATGGGGTGCAAAGTTAGTATTAGGTTTCTGGTGATGCACATCATGCATGCTCGGACCTCCATAAACACCAAATGGGATCAGACGAGACGTGGACCAAGGGAAATCATATCCGCAGTGGTCTTCCACTGATACATACACGTGGACCACCATGAACATCCAGGTGGTGAGCAGATGACACCTCAGCAGGACAGGGTTGAGCGTGGTCCAGAAGCCCACCGTGACCAACTCCCACCCGCCGAGGCACTGTGTGGCCAGAGCAAAGGGGGCAGAGTAATTATGGTGGATGGCATGGAAAGTCACATACAGCCAGCGGATCTTGTGATGCAAAAAGTGCCAGATGAAATACTGTAAGTCAAAGAGAAGAAGGTTTCCAGTCACCCCACCTACAAGTTCAAGCAATGTAGGTGCTTGTTCAGGCAGAGGAACAGGAGGTCTCCACAACCACTGCGCCACTGCTGCAGGAAACACCAGAAGTAGGTGATTATAAAGAGTAACTCCACTGCAGTGAAGGAGCATTGCAGTTGTGGGCAGCTTGTTGGGTTGAATCTTGTACTGGTAAATAGCTGGCCACTTCTTTCCCACCATGTCGCAGACTAGGTAGGGTACGCAAAGAACAAAATACGATGCTACGGTCAAAATCACAGGAAAGAGAGGAGACCGGAGAGTTTCAGAGTGGTTGAGTCGCATGTAGTCCCACAAAGGCTGCAAAACTGAGTCTTGTGCCTGGTAGGCCTCCCAAATAATCTCAAACACATGCACTTGAGTCATTTTCAAAGTTTATCCGACTATATTTCTTTCAGCATCAAATAAAACTCTTGTTTAGCTCTCTTAACGACATTCTCCTGGAAGTTTCATGTGGCTCAGGTATCTGATGACTTGTACTGAAATATTTATACACTCTTTCAGTTTGTAAATTATTTAGGGGTGTATTTTGATGTAGACGTTGTTTAGAAAACGTAATAAATATATTTATTTACATTATAGGATTTAAAGATGTGTTTTAGGACAGTTTGGATATAAATGTATTGCTCAGTACTTGAACTTGCCCTGACACGTTCTGTTGTAATTCTACTCCGTAAAGCAAGAGGGCGTCGATGACGTCTAGTTCAAACCACTGAAAAAAATAAACAAATAGAATAGCGATTAGCATAAAGCTGTTTTAAATGGGCGTGGCTTTGGCCCATACGTTCTCTCTGATTGGTCAGCTATGATTGGGCCAAATCAGAGGCCAAATATCCAATTTTTCACCGTGTATTTTTAATTCAGTGAATATCAACAGTTCTCACTGTCATTAATCCGATGCTAATTATTTATTTATGATGTCGGTAAGGTGCAGCAATCGTGCCGTTTCTACACTCAGGGCAGGCGATGATGCTAGTATTACGGGTATAAAAGCCGCTTTCTTCATGAGAGAGCAACAGGCGCGAGGAAAAGGGAGAAAATTGTACAGTTCACAAAGAAAAAGAAAATAAATGTGGATGGTAACGCATCAGACCCCCACATCAGCAGTCGAGAGACAGCAGCCAGCCTGGTACAGAGGAGCAACCGCCCCCATTCATCCACAAAACTGCTCCTGTAAAGCAAGAGAGAGAGCTAGGCGTCCCTGTCGCTATTTCCTGCAATGTAGGACCGTTTTTATAATCCAGAGGACCAGCCACATAGCCAAAAAGATAAACGCTGCTTGCTTTTCCAGAACGGTGCCGATGTATCAATAGATGACGGTGTCACGTGGTACATGTTACTTTCTTCCGCGCTGGTCAGTTTGGACGAATCACAGTTGCTCGTGATTACATCCTACATCTTTTTTTTACAAATCATTGCTGGAGCAGATTTTTAATTTAGCAATGATATTATTTCAGGCACCAGTAAACAGATTCAAACGATTAGGCTTTTTAGTGTGAAAATGTCTCCGGTAATGCAAAAAAATGTCTTGAGATTTGAATGCGCATCAACGGACGGTTCTACCTTTTGAGCCAGCAAAGCGTCCCCTGGAGGAAGATAACGTTTTGTTTCATTTTTGTTTCATCTAACATATGCCTCTTAATCTTAGAAACTCATGTGTTTATGCTAACGTAAACGACACAGAGCGACAGCAATAAACACTAAAAGATTGGACAGTTTACATTGACTACAAGGTGGTATCCGATTAAATGGAGTCAGAAAGTGCGGGTGTGGTGCAGGTTAGTGGCAAATCTGTTAGGTAACATTCATGACAAATGTTCACCAGTAATTTCCGTGCTATAAATAATGACATTATCGCCAACATGAGTAATCCTAAACAACATGGTATTTATAACAGCCAAACTTGAAGTTTAGCAGCACTTCCTGATTCCAAAGTGCGTGTTAGCAGTGATCGATTCCTCAGTAAATGAATCGTAAATGGAATCTTTCCAAAGAATCAGATGAATAGGTTAATTTTGAATATCAACCTTGTATTAATAAAACATAATTAACACTGCTAATAAAAGTGTAAATCAGTATCAACATGAGCAGTAGTGATAGGAGAAATATGCTTTTCGAAATTCTGAATGAAATGAACCAGTTGATTCCTAAATGATTCAGTGTTTCGAAGCACTCGGCTCAAAACACAACCTCTTGCGGCACTTGCTGGTCAAAACGGTGTCAATTATTCAACGAAAACTCTGCCCAAACATGTAATTACACCTTTTACAAACCTATTGCAAATGTTTACATAAAAGTGTAATCTATTAAATGTTATCTACATAGTACCATTAACCCTGTATATATATATATATATATTTAAATGGAACAGGTCAACCTGTTGGATTATATATGATATGATGATTATTTTTTAGGGGTGTAACAATATATCGTGCCACAATATATCGCAATACAAAAATGCAACAATACGTATCGTGGATAGTGACAATATGTATCGTGGATAGTTCCCCCAAAATAAAAATTACTGTGTGAGAAATAAATTACATTTTTTCAGAGTTTTAGTGTCAGTACTACATTAAACTGATAATGTCCTGATAATGCCAAATGTCTTATGTTACCAGTAAAAAGTGGCCTACATTATTTTAAATATATCTAGCCAGTGAAAGAGTGCAAGAATATTCGTCTATAATAAATCTGTATTTTCAGCTTCAGAATCATGAATATTTTTATTCTGGTGTCACCATTGTCCTTGGGTTACAAGCACCAAGTCTTGTTTTAATCAACAGTACATTTTTTGTTAACCTTTTATCATATGTCTTGGAGTATCGCAAAAATATCGTATCGTGAGTTCAGTATCGTGATATGTATCGAATCGTGACATGAGGGTATCGTTACACCCCTATTATTTTTTAACGATATCTTAAGAAGTTTGCAAATGTATTTTATGTTTTGAATCATATTTGATACACCAGGCTTTTATGGTCCATATAGGAGAATATGTAGCTCATACTGGAGGAGGGGGGAAAACACTCATTCAGAGGCCCAAAACTGAGCAAAAATTGACAATTTGATGCTTATTTATATGGCCTAAAAGTTAGATGAAATTCTGATAGCTTTTAATGTAAATAAGTTATAAGTATAGCAGACTACTTGCATAAAATGCATATAAATATCAGTTTGTCACTTTATATCTCCGAATAACATATATTTTTAAGATGATATTTAAATGCTTAGTTTTATGATCACAGCTCTATTTTAATTGTGGATGTCAAAAAATAAAATGCAATTCAATTATGATTCATAGATATACAAAAAAAAACACTTCTCAAAGGCCTGATGTATCATATTTGCTACTCGCATTTTAACATGATTTGTGATGATATTTATGTAAAGTAAACCTAAATTGCTTTAGTCAGGTAAATGGTCATATGGAAATATTACTAACAATATGAAACTTGTTCTTACATTTATTTTTAATAAAAAGAATCAAAGATTTCACAGCAAAAAGACACATGTACCACGACCTGAAGGTGGACATTTTTTAGAATTATACTAAAAGATGTTTTTTACTACTAAAAATAAAAAAGGCCTTTTAGTATATCATGTTAATAATTTAGAGGTTTTTGAAAATCACATATTAAATATGATACAGTATAGGCTTTATAGGGTTAAATGTGAAGGTTTTGTACAAATTTGTGTTTTTGATTTGCTAATGCTTGTTTTGGGTGTTATTAGGCAGGGATTGGCAAATTAGGTAAATTAAAAGCTATTAAATAATAATTATTCTCCTTTTTGTATTATAGATGCATAAGTATTATTTATTAAATTAAGTGAAATTAAACTTTAATTATAAAGTGCTGAAATCACTTGACTTCGAACCACTGATCGAACCAAAAGATTAGTAAATGTTTAGAAGTTTAATAAAGCAGTGTTACGAAAGTATCCATAACAAATGCACATACATAAGGCTTTATTAGATATGTTAATTGTCTACTATTGTCAATGGTCCCGTGAAATTCCACTAGCATAGTCCCTTGTCAAATAGTGTAGCAATCCATGAACCACTACTACAGAAGCCACTTTCAAACCAAGCAGTTTTCTGTTGATCAAATTCACATGACCAACATGAGCGAAATCTGCTTTGGGACATTTTTCACCTCACGTGTGTTTGATAAGGGTTGGAGCTAAGCTCTGCAGGAAAGTGGATCTCGAGGGCCAGAGTCGAGAACCCCTGGTCTAGAACATTTTAAAAGAACTATTGAATCAGTATAACCAGTTCACTGAATGAACTGTTCGAAAGAGCCATTTTGCTGAATCTACTTCAGTGTTTCAGAGTTCAGTGTTCACTTATATGCATTAATCAGGTTTAATGCATGTTAACAGGGAACCCTGTGATAAGGTTTTAAGCAGATATTTTCAGCAGTTTTAGAGCTATGCCCTCATTAGAGCTTTACCGTTTTGCCCTGCTGATTAACAAATGTTATACAATTAAGTACAGTAGTGTTATATGGTTGAATGATTACAAAATACCTTTCTGTTTACTCTAATTGCCATTTATTGGCTGAACTCTATTTGACCAGAATTATCGAATCATGTCATTTGGTGATTAACTACTTATTATTGTGGGAACATGGTTTAAAGATTGAAGGGGCTCATTAATTAGGATCACGACTTGAATTGAAAAAAATGCTGCATCACGCATCTAAATCTGCAGTTCAGTCATATCTTTGTTGTCATATAAAAGATATTTTAATGCTGTTTTATTTATGTTTCACAGTCATTGGTTCCTGAGGATGAACCAGCCCCTTCTGTGTCGGTTGCAACGGAAAAGGACGACTCAAGCCATGATACTACTGAGATTAGCAGTAAGGAGACGTCACAGAAGGCCGGTCAGGTGCAGCAACTGTGCCGTTTTTACTCTCAGGGCAGGCAATGCTATTACGGGAAAAGGTGCCGCTTTCTTCATCAGAGAGCTGCAGGTCCATTGAAAGAAGGAGAGAATGGCACGGCTCACAAGGGGAAAGAAGGAAACGTGGATGGTCACGCATCAGACAAAAAACAGCAGTCGAGCGAAAACAGCCAATCTTATACAAAGAAGCATCCGCCTCCATCCGGCCACAAAAGTGCTCCTGTGAAGCAGGAGAGACCCAGGCGTCCCTGCCGCTACTTTCTGTCTGGGTTTTGTGCAATGGAGGATCAGTGTCGCTTCTTGCATCCACAGCAGTTTCCTCCCGTGAAGGACCAGCCTTACGGCCCGAGAGAGAGGAGCAGCTTCAGGCCTTCCGCTCCAGCCCCACGGCCAGCTAAAAGTCATGAGCAGGTCAAACTGGCTGATCTTACTGAAGAGGTCTGCAAGCAGCTGAGAGCCACTGAGATCGCTCAGCTGACGAAGAGATTTCCGAAAGACAATCTCATCGTGCAGGAGCGGGAAGATGGAAAGCTGACCTACTACAGAGTCACGGTTCAAGCCACGGACCCTGACTGGGTAAACGCTTATTGTATAGAACATACAGTGAATTAAAGTGCCCCTATAATGCTCTTTTAAGGTTCCTAATTTTGTAATAGAGGTCTCTTACAATAGGTTTACATGCATCCAAGGTCAAAAAACACTTTAATTTTCTCATAATACACATTTCAGCATCACCTCTTTACTCACAATGTCAGAAACAGTTTAATAAAGGATTCAGTCTCTCTAAACCCCTCCTTTCCGAGAGACTACTCTGCTCTGATTGGTCAGATGACCCCGTCAGTTGTGATTTGCCAGGGCGTAACGGAAACAAAACTGCCATTACCATATTTGAATTTCACTTGATACACAGTGATACGAAGAGTAACGATTGTGTTGGTTTTACTGTATCAATAGGCTTTATGCACAGCTTCACTACTTCCTGAACTTCAGCCAGCCCTTTGTTTCCTGTCTGTCATTATTGGACAAACTAATTACTCCAGGTGTGCCTGATTATTGTTACTGAGGCCAGGCACACCTGGATTAATTAGTTTGTCCAATAATGACAGACAGGAAACAAAGGGCTGGCTGAAGTTCAGGAAGTAGTGAAGCTGTGCATAAAGCCAATTCGAGTCCTCATCCTTTGGAAGTGCAGGCAACGTGGATTTGCTTTCGCAGGGCAGAAAACAGCGTCTTCTCGACATGTCGACAACGCAAACCAAACTCTTCCAGGCCTCAGCTTGAATTACAGTGTTTGAGGGCGGGTCAAAGTAGACGTTTGCGAGGAGGCATTATACTGTAGACAAATTTGTTACACACACCTAGGTTCGCGCAGGAAGTAAGGCTTGAATTACTGACGACTCGTTTCAGCAGTTCAGAATCTGTTCTTTCTTTTGAAACGCAGTAACTCCATTTATCGAGCACTTTCAGCTTACTACTTTGCAGACCTTTTACATTCACAAACAGCTCTGTTACACACTACGTGAAAAGTAATATCCGAAAAAAGCACAATAGGGGCAATTTGAAGTACAGGCAGTGAGCATACGTAAAGCAGAACCAAAGAGCAACCATGTGCCAAATGGCAAAGTTCTAGCTAGTGTAATAGAATGGGAATATGGGAGCACTGAAGTATTGAAGTATAACCTTTATATCGGTATCATACAGCTGATTGTGCAAAACTAAACGAAAGAAGATCAATAATGGATTACTTTCGTATTATGCTTGTTTGCATAACTAATTCAGACGTATTAAATGTTACATAAGTTTGAATGGATTTTTATAAGGTCTTTCAACCAATGTAGGTGTTTAATGTAGCCTAATCAGTTTAAAGTCCTCAGGAAAGTCGGTAATATTTTTTTATGTTATTGAAAGAAGTCTCTTATGCTCTCCAAGCCTGCATTTAATTGATACAATTTTTATAAAAACAGTAATTTTGTGAAATATTATTTAAATTTAAAACAACTTTTCTATTTTAATTTATTTTAAAATGTAATTTATTCCTGTGGTCAAAGCTGAATTTTCAGCAACTCCAGTCTTCAGTGTCACATGGTCCTTCAGAAATCATTCTAATAAGCTTATTTGGTGCTCAAGAAACATTTCTTATTGTTATCAATGTTGAAAACAGTTGTGCTGCTTTTTCAGGATTCTTTGATAAAGTTGAAATGATCAGCGTTTATTTGATAACATTATAATTTTTTTTACTGTCACTTTTGATCTATTTAATACATCCTAGGCAGCTGAACATTATTATTATTATTTTCAAAAGAAAAATCTTACTAATCATAAACTTATTGTATATTTATATTATGTATGTATGTTTATCTCATTGCAAAATCTTATAGCTGGAATGCACAGTTATGGGATCATACTGATAAAGCTACACTGATAATGTCTGTTATTATTTGCAGCCATATGATCTGAACGAAGTGGACATCATGGTCAGCTTTCCTGAGAGTTACCCTCAAGAGGTGTGCATCTTTGAAATCTTTCAAATTTGATGTTCAAATGTATGTTTTTGCTAATAAAAGCTTACGTATCATAGGTTTTCACTGTGGATGTCCCTGAGGACCAAGAATTACTATCACTTATGGGGAGGTGAGAAGAACTGTTTATATTGCACACACTGTGCATACAATTTATTTATTTAATGGTGTGTGAATGCAGACATGTGCAGAAGGCCTCAGAGGAATGGCTGAGGGCTAAACATGCCACTAATCAGCTGATGGGTAGAGTTGAGCTGCTCTTCAGGCCGTACTTGCGCTGGCTGGACCGTAGTATGGAGAAACTCTTCACTGAGGGCGCCAGACAGGTGAGACTCGCACTCGCCTGGGAATATAAAACAGCCAATCAGATAACAGCTGAGAAGTGTCTTCTAGTTATGCACCAGACTGTCAGTGAACAGACTCGGGTCAACCTAGATCTAGCATTAATAACTTTCAAATCTCTCTTCTCAGTTGAAAAAAGACGTTGACCTAGAGAGGGCTGGAATACAGTTTGTTCCATATGAGCAGCTCAAGGTCACAGTTTTTAAGAACACATCCAAGAAATCAGACGCTCCTGAGCGTGTAGTGTCACTCGCAGTGGCTTCAGGGAAGGAGGAGGAGGAAGGACATGATGATGCTGGAGTAGAGGAGGAGGAGGAGGATGAAACTGCTCTTGGTATTGATGGGGAGGAAGGCGGCCACCAGGTGGAGAACATAAAAACAAGAGAGCGACGAAGAGGTACTGAAATCAAACTGCTGGGTCTGATACTGGGAGAACAAACAGCTACTGTGGCGGCCAGACAGATCTCAGTGTCCCTGAAGTGCAACAGGTGAATTTCGATCCTTTTTCAAACCAAACTAAAACATTTCATTTCAGTTTTCAGATGTTAATCAGATATCAGAACTCTAACCTTTTTTTATACATGGTATTTACATCTTTCTTCAATTATCCTATCACAACAAGTGGTCGAGACGGATGTTTACACCAGGTTTTAAGGCCCGTTCACACTAAGAATGATAACTATAACGATAACTAAATAAGCGTCCACACCAGCGGACGATATTGTTATTTTTATTCCAAGCATGCTGCAGTTATGCCGTCTGCTGCTTTAAATGCTCGAGCTCTTTAAAGTCTGGCGGATTCTGATTGGCTGTCATTGTTTTTATCGTTCGTCAGCTGAAAAAAATCATTCTGAAAGTAAAGTTCTTCAGCTCTTGAGTCTATGGCAGTCGGTAGAACTGCTTGTGGGAAAATGATGAAATTTGGCAAAAATATGGTTAATCTGAACATTAATCACAACAAATATGGAGTCTCTAACTCATTCCCTCTAGCGCCACCAACTGTCTAAATTTGCACTCACTTTTGAACCGAAAGGGCTAGGAACAAAAATATTTTTTTTCTCCGATTCCATGGCTATATTCATGGCTATATTAAGTTTTCGAACTCATTAGCATGTCATTACGATACTCTGTATGTGTCAACGTGTATATACTAAAAAAGTATAATGTTGAGAAATACACCTATATTTAGTGTTGTCCATTTATGATCGGATCACCAAGGTCTGATGTCAATACCAGGTGCAAGCATGGCCTCTTATTTCTTTAAACAATTTATCACAAACTGCCATCAGACATGAGCGCAAAATATCCATGTTCCCCTTTTTGTAGGTGTAAAGTGGACTCTGACCTGACCCTGACGGGGCGTCTGACCTGTACTGCTCAGTGTGAGAAATGTGGAGCAGATATCAGGGTGGCCTTCAGACCTACTCTGATGCACCACTGCAGTGATGTTTTAGGCTATATGGACCTAAAAGCAGCTGTGCCTGTAGACCTGGTACTGCAGGACTCCGAGTTCAGTGTTGGATGCCTTAACTGCAACAAGGAGGACACAATTCAGGTCTGCAAAGATTCAGGTTCAACATTCAGGTTGATTAGGACACTTTTTGCCATTGAGATTGCCTAAATTCACCCTATATACACATACAGTAGTCAACATTTGAAGTGGATCAAAAAAGTTCATCAAAGTTGTCCTAAGACAAAATTCATGTATAACTTTGATGAAAGGTTTTGATCCACTTTGCATTTTTCATTTGCATTTGGCAGACGCTTTTATCCAAAGCGACTTACATTGCATTCCAAGGTACACATTTTTACATTCTTATCAGTTCTTGCTTTCCCTGGGAATGGAGCCCATGATGTTTGAGCTACAGGAAAGCATGTACTTTAAATGTTGACTACTGTATATGTATATACACACACACACACACACACACACACACACACACCACTGTTCAAAAGTTTGAAGGCAGTAAGATTTTTTTTTTAATAAACTAATAAAATGTTTTTTTTTTAATATAAATTAATTCAGCAAGAATGCATTAACCTGATCAAAAGTGACAGTAAAGACATTTACAATGTTATAAAAAAAATGTATTTTTCAAATCAATTCTTTTTAACTTTCTTTTGATCAAAGAATCCTGAAAAAAAATGTTTCTTGAGCTCCAAATCAGCATATTAGACTGATTAATGAGAATTCAGATATGATGATAATTCAGCTTTTATAATATATTAAAATAGAGTAATAATAAATCATTTACATAAATGCAGTTCTCACACAACAATCTTTTTGTTTCTTCTTTTCTAGAATCTGACCTATGGGCAAAACTGGGAACAAAACTGCCAACATTGTCATACCAAACTCATGATTTTTGTGGAAGCGACACGCTTTCAGTTCATTCAGCCAGAGACCAGAAATCAGACAGGTCTGAGCCTTGTCCTATATCCTCACTGATTCTGTACAGTTCTTGTTTCTTGTGCGTTAATATTCGGTCAAGAATTAGTCTCGTGCGAGGGATTATTTAACACCGGCACCTGGTGTTCCACTAAAGCTTATCCAGGGATAGTTCACCCAAAAATAAAAGTTTTGTCATCGTTTACTGGCTCTCAAGTTGTTCCGAACCTGTATAAATGTCTTTGTTCTGCTGTATACAAACTGGAAGATATTTGTAAGAATGTTTGTAACCAAGCAGATCTTGGGCCCCATTGACTACCATAGTCATTTTTTTCCTACACCTGTACCTGTAAAAGTCCTAAGGTGTTTCTCAAATGATTGGTTAATTGGTGTGTTTTCTGATACCCTGTGGTTGAGGAGATTCCAGACTCTCTTTATAAATTGCATTGAGCGTAAAGCAGCATATAAATAAAATGATTGTTTTTTTATTTACTGAATTTACAGGTGCAGCTGCTCAATACACTCGACGCTACAGAGACCCTGCAGTTCAGCAAGGGAAACCCCTACCTGAAAAAGGTGCCTGCAGGCATTTCAAACAAAGTCACCGGTGGCTAAGGTAACTATCGGCAACAGTGTACCACCAAGTCCTCTTGTTTGACCTATAAAATGCCCTTGGCTCATATTTAGGAGCCGTCTTGCATTAATGGTCTCTCCTGCCAGATTTCCATGCTGTGGTCGGGCGTACCCATGTGATGCCTGCCATGATGAAGATCAAGACCATTTGATGGAGATGGCCACCAGAATGATCTGTGGTTCTTGTGCCAAAGAGCAGGTCAGCAGCAGCAGATCATGCCGACAGGATGAGGATTATTTTCACCTCAATCCCCGTTAACCTAGCCTGGGAAAACCCAGACAACTTCCAGCAAATTTAGATTTGCTCTGAAAGTTAGTCTGGCAAAGAGCTCATTCAAGCCCATTTCCAATCCGTCGAAATCGAGGCACCAATCAGAAACGTTGGGGCGGGCTTTACACGATGACGACAGCGCTGGGATTTTGAAGCAGATTTTGTAGCCTACATTACAAAGATGGATGCCGCCGTCGAACATCACTCGCTCGAATCAGCTATCGCGTCTGTTTTAAGCGATTTGAACGTTTCCTTTTTGTTAAAAACCGAGCAAAGAACAACACTCGGAGATGTTTCTCCACCGCTCTGCATATGTCATCTCCTTCATCGCTCTGATTGGTTTTAGGTCTATCCGCGACGTCCATTGGTGACGCCCCTCTGGAAATGATTTGTCTATGACGCTTGCCAGACCATAACTCAGGTTTTAACCAGGCTACCCTTAATATTGCGTTGAAATTAGAAACAAACTAGGCAGGCTGCCCGTTTAAACCTTTTGGCTTTTGGAAATATTACAACACTGCAGGTGCAACAAAGAGGATTTGACCCACATTTTGCCAAGAACACGACATTTGTTCCAAAAGAAAGGTTTTCTTTAGATCCTAGATTTTCCATTGGGCATCAAATGATGAGATGACACCGTGCTAAAATGTCTTTAGAAATGTATTAATATTACCATGAACTGCTTGGAACGTTAATATGCTAAATTATTAAAGTAACATAGACTGAGTAGGAAAATGTATCATTTTGGCTTTAAATGAGAACCACTGGTGCATAATATACTTAAGATTTTTGACTTCTTGTTTTGTTTTCACCTTCTAGCCATACAGCAACGGTAAGCCATGTGTTGGTTGCGGAGGTATGATGACAAGAGGCACCTTCACAAGCCACTGGGAGGGCGGACAGGGCTGTAGAAACAAGGCTAAGATGAGCAGGTATGTGCCATATAAATCCTGTGTGTTATTCCCCTTCCACCTACTGTTAGCATGTTGCAACTTGCCAGTGATTAACTTAGAACTAATAGTTGTTGACAAGCCTAGAACATGGTAGAGGTGTATTTTCAAATGGGTCGTATGATGCTTTGCCTTTTCTTTTAGTGTGTAATGTATCTGTGCTTGTATACGATCTGTGAAGTTACAGAGCTCATAGACTCCCACAAAGGAGGATTAATTCTATCTAACAGAGAACACTGATCCAAACCTGCCTAAAACACCTCGATCGAAGCCCAGATGTTTCTTCCTCAAATGTCTGCGTCACATTGTAAAATATTAGAATAATGCCCGGCCAAAAGTGTACACAAAGAGATAAGGCGAGGTTTCAGTGAAGTGTAGTGCTGCTGTCGTCATGTCACAGAGATTCTGTGTTTTTGATGCAAAAGCGAAAGCGCTTTGTTTGGCCTTCTGAAAAAATGAATCAAATTACAAATCAGCGGTAAAGATTCAATTCAATTCAAATTTATTTGTATAGCGCTTTTCACAATACATATTGTTTCAAAGCAGCTTTACAGAAAGTGCAGATTTACAGTATTTATAATGCTGTTCTTGAGCAGTACAACCCAGAAGTTTGCTTGTTTACAGTGAACAGCTTTCTGAACCTGTAAGAGTACAACGACATTATCAACTGTGTGTTTATAATTGCTTAAAGCCTTGTAAACTGAAGCTTGCAAAAATGGTAAGGGGCGTTACATTTCGAACACATGCTTGAGGTGTTTGGCCAATCACACACACTGCGTGTTTCATGCGTTTTTTGAACATTAACCTCTTCTTTTACACCCAATAATCAAAATTGCATCATATGACCCCTCAATGCAAATGTAAACTGTTGGTGACCCATGTGTTCGAAATGAATGTGAACAAGTTTTTGTCTCTGAACTGCATATGAACCTTTGTTGTTATCTTATTTTTCCATACAGGAATGACCGGCACAAATACACCAACACACGTAAAACGGTGGCAAGGAAAAAAAGTGAATAATGATACCAAAGGATCTTACTTTCAGCCAATTTAGATGATTCATGGCCATGTCTTTAATCATCAAGTCCTTTATGAGACATTTATTATACATTTCAGATGATTTCACAAAATTGTTTTCTTGCAGTTTACAATGATTTTTAAATAAAATACATTTGACATATATCCAGCATAACCATTTTTATTTTTAAATAAATAAAAATATTATGTACATAAATGTACTCGCACCTTTGGCTTTAGATTGCTTAAGAATATCTGAAATAACGCTTAAATAATGAGTCAAGAAAACTTTGTTAAAGGGTTACATCATGAGTTAAGATTTTTTATTAATGCAAGCTCTAAAATTCAAATTATGGATACTTGTATCCAAAATTTAGTAGTTGAATAAGCAAATTATGGACTGCAAAATAGTTCTGTGCATTTTCTATGATTTCAATGGAAATAAAATTATGTAGAAAAACATCTGGTTGTTGTTATTATTAATTGAGAATGTGATATGCTGAATATTTAATTCAACACTAAATATATATGTGTGATCATAAGTTCACATTCCCTTTCAGAATCTGCAAAATATTAATAATTAAAAAATATATGAGAGGGATCATAAACATTGCACTTTGTTTTTTATTTAGTACTGCCCTGAATAAGCTATTTCACAAAACAGATCTTTATATAGTCCACAAGAATAGTAAACATGAATAACCCAGTTCAAAAGTTTTGACACCCTTCATTCTTTTGGATTGGATGATCGGTGGATATTGTTTTTATTTTGTCTTCCTGATAGTAGAAGATCCTTGCTAGGTTTCAGTAATAATTGCATTTAAACGTCTCTTTAAAGATCAATAACCCAGACTTTAAAGGAGCTGTATGTAAGATTGTGGCCAAAATTGGTACTGCAATCACTTTCAAATTACTGTAGAGCTGTGTATCCCCTCCCCCTCCCCCCTGACTCAAGGTTGCCAGATAGGCTGCAGGATCCAGCAGGAACATAGGCTGCTACAAGGAGCTTTCAACTAGAGCAGAGCTGGCAACCCGGATGCTGAAACACTACTGACTTCGTGATTGGTAGATAGGTGGAGGGTGGGGCTTCAGGCCAAAACACAAGATGACAACATCAACATCAGTTGAGGGCTGCAACTTCACTTTTTAAATGACAATATCCTGGCCGGACTACTGTTGTCAGTGATATAATTATTTGAAATGAACATGATTTCTTAATGTCTAGAGACACATCAGGGCCATTTTATGATTAATTGAAATACATTTCTTACATACAGCTCCTTTAAAGAGAGGGAGAGACTGGGGTGTTAGCTGAGAGAAAGTACCTTATCATGGATTTACCAGAGTTCCAAGTCTGGCTCAGCGGTATAAATAAGGCTGGGTTATTCCCCATCAGCATTCACTTGCCATTGCTCAATCCAGCAGCAGGATGTGTAACATCAGTGAAGTCGCTCTTCAACTCCCAACATCCACAGCTTCAGACCATCTCCTCCAGCCCCTGTGGGACTACCTGTATCATCAGCACTACAGCCAGGTCTCGTCTCCGTTCTTCCCAGTGCTGCTCGCCTTCTCCAGCTACTTCATCTTCAGCGTCCCCTTCACGCTCCTGGATGTCCTAGGAGAGAAAGCTCCTCTTTTTAAGTACAAGATCCAAAAGGAGCGGCGTCCCACCGTCGGCATGATGCTGAGGACTCTGGGGACGGCGGTGTACAATCATCTAGTGTTTGTTCTACCGGCTGTGTTGATCACTAATGTGGTGATGCCTGCGCATCCACTTCCAGCAGTTGCTCCGACAGTATGGGAGCTGTTCTCTGGCGGGTTGGGGGTTTTGCTCGTCTTCGACGCCCAGTACTTCCTCTGGCACATGGTGCACCACAAAAACCCTCACCTGTACAGATGGGTCCATGCCATCCATCACGATTACGCCTCGCCGTTCTCCTGGTCCACCCAGCACCTGAGCGGCGTGGAGCTGATGACGGTGGGCTTCTGGAGCAACCTCGATCCCATCCTGCTCAAGTGCCATCCTTTGACCGTGTGGACCATCACTGTCTTCAGCATTTGGATGTCCGTGGAAGACCATATCGGCTACGACCTGCCATATTCTCCTAGCCACCTGGTTCCTTTTGGGCTTCTTGGAGGGGCGATGGCCCATGACACGCATCACCAGAAACCCAGCAGCAACTTTGCACCTTTCTTTAGTCACTGGGACACACTTTTCGGCACTGCCGTAACAGTGAAACGGACTCATAAAAGCGATAAGGAACAGTAGACGGTTTCATCGGTTTTAAACCTTTAATCAGTGTAAATATAAAAAAATGTAATACTTGTATAAATCTTGTATTTCTGTCTGCATTCTATATGGTTGAAATGAATAAAAACAAATGTTTGTATATATTATTGTGCATCTTGGAGAGAGGTTGGGGATCATTGAATTTGGTGTCCATTTTTCTTATGAAAATATTTTTGTTTATTTGTATTTATGTACAGTAGCATAAAAGTTATTCCAATAAGCAGCGGTCAGAAAGTGGAAGCACATAACAACGCTTGCCATTAGTTACAGTCAATGATCTGATATTTTACAGCTTTTCAGTAATTATGCTTCCTCTTACATAAAACAGCACAATATGTGGTAACCAACCCGATTATTGAACTAATGAGGTTTAAAGAGAGAATAGTTTTCACTCCCCTCTTAGCCAGTGGGTTTCCTCAAAATGCCTTGTAAAGATTAAAAGATCAAATATTCCTCCTCCGGAAATGATCTTTAGGAGTATTTCTCTCTGAAAGAGGGATGAACAAAGTCTTTGTTTATACTAAAATCACGCTAAAATAAATGAATAAAACCACTTGTTTAAGCTGTGAACATTGAACTGCTTTAAGATAAAAACAGCCCTCATTGTGGGAAGATGAAGCAATTTTAGAATGTTTTGTCGTTTCATAATAAATTACAGTACAGCATTTCACTTTATCGTTGATTACATAAAGCTGATTTTGTTTAATTTGGATTAATGTTCCATTTGTAATGCTCCCTACAAAAAGGAGTAAAGAAAATCTAAATAGTCCTACATAAATACAGTCGTACACAGGGCTTGACATTAACTTTTTTGCTCACTAGCCAATGTGGCTAGTGGTTTTCCAAAGTTACTAGCCACACAGCATTTTTACTAGCCACATTTTTGTTGTTGTGAAATTACCTGATTAAAGTTGACTATGGCGTGCTAAAATTTACTTGAACTAGATTTACAACCCTTTTAAATGTAAAACCACTGTACACACGCAAATCAAGACTAGGTATAACAATACAGGTCATTATCATTAGCTCTGATAAGGTTGTGTGTAAAGCTCCTTTAAAGCTCCTATAAAACCATGTATTAAGATGAAGACATAGCTTCTTATTGCATAATAAAAGTGGTGCATGGATGTAGAAGATTAATAAAAAATATAAAAAAATAAACTGAAAAAACCTTTAGCATTAGAAACACTGTCTGTTTAAATATCAGAATCAGAATTACTTTATTGAGCCCCGATGGGAAATTCTTTGTTACACGTTGCGTTTTCTGTGTCTTTGCACAGCAGAAACGTGTCTGACTGGTGTCTGCTGGTAACGTACATGGAGGGCTATCTCGGGATTCGGGCGTTGCAGCATAGACGGCAAAATAGGCTATAAGAATATTTCGTTCTGTATTGACAGGTGCAATATTTGATTTTTTTTAAATTATATCTGCATTTGCCAAAACCTATGGACTTTCAAACATAAAAATGCCATTTATTAATATGTGTTCGTGTCAACATGACATATTTTCCTATTCTATTTAGCCTGGAAACGCTTCCAACAGGCTTGCGTGTCGCGTGAGAAATAGCCGTCGGTTTTTTTTCTAGCATGCACGCGTTTTCGGCGCGGCTCGAGACGCGCGTCACGCAGGCAGTGTGCAAGTTCTAACCTGTTAACATGGGAGCCGAAATAAAAACGGACACACCACGCAGCGGAGACGCGCACGCCACGCAGCCAGTGCGCTTCAGATGCCTTTTGAAAAGACTACAATTATTCAACCCGCCAAAGTGGCTAGTTGAAGTGACTGTGTTACCCGCCACGAGCAAAATCCACCCGCATTTGGCGGGTTGGCGGGTGTTAATGTCAAGCCCTGGTCGTACATAAATACAAAACGAAATTCACTTCTACAAAACAAAACTTAATGAAGTGGTCAAAATCATGTCTGACCTGTGCACCCTATCTGTGCATCCTATCTTACTCGTGCTGTTCATTTTTCATAATCAACATGGAGAAAAAAAACACATTATAATATTTGAACAAATATGAAACTAAATGCGCTTATTTAATGGCTGTAGTAGACCTACAGATTCTCTATTGCTGCACATTAATTTAATTCTGAATTTTGCACACATGAGTTTAAAGGCATTTGTTTGTGCATAGTAAAACATATCTGCAACATTTATCAAGTTCACGGATAATTGTGCGTGCATGTATTAATAATTATGATACTAAAATCATAATAAAGTAGACTATAGGCTACTACAAAAAATCAGATTCGAGCCCAGAATATGGACGCATCGCGTTTAATTAAATGTTTAGCATTTTCCTCCCATAGAAAACCATCATAAAACGCATAATGTGGCTTAATGCAGATTAGAATGTCCCCTTACTATGTCAAAATAGCAAGTTATTATGTAATAATAACGAGATATGATGTCGAAATAACAGATATTATGTCGAAATAACGACTTTTATTTCGAACGAGATGTGTTGAAAGACTTATTATCTGGAAAAAAAACCGGTTTCCTGAAAAAAAAGCCTGGCGGTTCAGGGCGTCCATATACACTCACCTAAAGGATTATTAGGAACACCATATTAATACTGTGTTTGACCCCCTTTCGCCTTCAGAACTGCCTTAACTCTACGTGGCATTGATTCAACAAGGTGCTGAAAGAATTCTTTAGAAATGTTGGCCCATATTGATAGGATAGCATCTTGCAGTTGATGGAGATTTGTGGCATGCACATCCAGGGCACGAAGCTCCCGTTCCACTACATCCCAAAGATGCTCTATTGGGTTGAGATCTGGTGACTGTGGGGGCCATTTTAGTACAGTGAACTCATTGTCATGTTCAAAAAAACAATTTGAAATGATTCGAGCTTTGTGACATGGTGCATTATCCTGCTGGAAGTAGCCATCAGAGGATGGGTACATGGTGGCCATAAAGGGATGGAGGTAGGCCGTGGCATTTAAACGATGCCCAATTGGCACTAAGGGGCCTAAAGTGTGCCAAGAAAACATCCCCCACACCATTACACCACCACCACCAGCCTGCACAGTAGTAACAAGGCATGATGGATCCATGTTCTCATTCTGTTTACGCCAAATTCTGACTCTACCATCTGAATGTCTCAACAGAAATCGAGACTCATCAGACCAGGCAACATTTTTCCAGTCTTCAACTGTCCAATTTTGGTGAGCTCTTGCAAATTGTAGCCTCTTTTTCCTATTTGAAGTGGAGATGAGTGGTACCCGGCGGGGTCTTCTGCTGTTGTAGCCCATCCGCCTCAAGGTTGTGCGTGTTGTGGCTTCACAAATGCTTTGCTGGATACCTCGGTTGTAACGAGTGGTTATTTCAGTCAAAGTTGCTCTTCTATCAGCTTGAATCAGTCGGCCCATTCTCCTCTGACCTCTAGCATCAACAAGGCATTTTCGCCCACAGGACTGCCGCTCACTGGATGTTTTTCCCTTTTCACACCATTCTTTGTAAGCCCTAGAAATGGTTGTGTGTGAAAATCCCAGTAACTGAGCAGATTGTGAAATACTCAGACCGGCCCGTTGGCTCAGACCAACAACCATGCCACGCTCAAAATTGCTTAAATCACCTTTCTTTCTTTTTTTATCTTACAGTTACTGAAAATTCGGCCTCTACTTCATAAACGCCAGAGGAGAACTGGCCCCGACTGAGCCTGGGTTCTCCCAAGGTTTTTTTCTCGCCATTGGGTCATCTGATGGAGTTTTAGGACACCATCGGGTCACTTGATGGAGTTTTTCGGTTCCTTGCCACTGTTGCCTTTGGCTTGCTCAGTTGGGGATATTCAAATTAAATGACCCATCATACCAATGATCTGCTCTACCAAACTTGGATGTCTTTTTCCAGTAATAAACAAACACTGTTAAGTTGTTTTGACAACAACTTCGTCATCTATTCGTAACCTTGGTGTCTTAATCGACTCAACGTAATATTGCACGTCTACGATCTTCTCTCTAGCTGATGCTAAGACCTTAATTCATGCATTAATCACATCACATCTCGATTATTGCAATGCTCTATTTCTTGGTATGCCCAGAAAACTTATTGTGAGATTACAGTATGTTCAAAACTCATCAGCAAGTGTTCTGCTCACATTACTCCTCTGCTTTATGACCTTCACTGGCTACCCGTGGCATCACATATCCACTTTAAGGTACTACTTCTAACGTTTAAGGGATTAAATGGTCTTGCACCCCCATATGTCTGATCTACTTTACTCCTACCGTCCTGCCCGGTCCCTTAGATCAGCTGAACTTGGTTTATTGTCCATCCCTCGTTTCTGGTTGTCTACTAGGAGGAAGGTCCTTTGGTGTTAATGCTCCTAAATTATGGAAATCACTACCCCTTACATTTCAAAATATCTCATCTGTTGCTATATTCAAGACTCCGCTAAAAACATATCTATTCAACATGTATTTTGGATAATGTAACTATAGGCCTATGTATCCTATGTGACTGTATTGTGTGTGCGGGTGTGTAAATGTATTGTAATGTATAATGTAAAGCGACCTTGAGCTACAGAAAGCCACTATATAAATAAAACTTCTTCTTATCTTTCTTGGATTCTTGGCATATAATGCAAGTAATAATAATACTTGCAAGTAATAAGAAATAATGCAATTATCATCGCCACAAGTAGCTTAAAGGGATAGTTCACTTTGAAATTAATTTTTGGTATGTTTTAGCTTACCTTAAGGGCATCCAAGATGTAGGTGTCTTTGTTTGCGCAGTAGTTTCAATTTTGATATTTTTAGGTCAAACCGTTCTTGTCTGTCAGTCATATAATGCAGGTCTATGGTCACCACCTCAAAGAGCATGTACAGAGAAGTCCAAATCACTTCCGGCGCTTTCCGGCACTTGAGCAGACCGAAGCGCCCGCGCCCTCAGATCACTTGGACGTGGCTGTGGTTACAAGACGTAAAAAACATATAAATACTGTTCGTTTTCTCACACAAACCGCTCGTTTCGTGTCTTAGGCCATCAATGTGTACTTACATTTACGAGTCATTAGATTATGTTTAATTTGGACTTCTCTGTGCATGCTCTTTGAGGTGGTGACCAATAGGCTTTATGCACAGCTTCACTACTTCCT